ACTCAATTTTTCTCTACAAGGGCCTGATATCCACTTACGAGGACATTATACTGCTACTGTTCTATCAAATGTTTAAACAAATATCCTCATATGTGGCTCGCATTTTTCTTAGAAACAAAAATTAGGTAAAAAAAATAAATAAATCTGGTAATTCTTTGTTTTTACATTCATCAGCTCCCAATCAGCCCAAATATCAAAGAGAAATTGAAAATGCATGTCGTGGAAGAGTTCAGGTCTTAGGAGGTTAAAAATACTCAAACACTGCCAGATACTTTGTATTTGTCACCATGTTGTTCACATTGCTCTCCAACTTTTATGTCAGTGTTTTTTGGTTTTGTTTGTCAAGTTCAAAGAAGTTCAAACTGAGGTGGTCGTCTCAAGAAACTTAGCTGTTCATAGCGTGAGGTGTACAGTAAGATTGGAGTGTTTGAAGGATTTTCAAAGATTACAGGGGTCAACAAGTTTCCGCCTGTTTAACTAAAAAAAAAAAAAAAGCAGATACTTGAGCATTAATGCTGTACACCTGCATGAATGTCATTGGCTGTAACAGCACTCAGCTAATGTAAATCTGGCTTTAGTTTTGTGTCTTAACTAAAGCTGTGCTACGTTTATCACTTTTATGCGCTCCCTATAACTTGACCCAAACCTGCAGCTTTTAATCTCTGTGCACCTGCAGTTTGTGCTCCTACTTTTGCTTTGTAACGAGTATGATGAAGTGCTAATTGAGCACATTCGTGTAGCATTTTGTCCCACGCTTGTTTTACAGCTGACAGCTCCCGCTGTTTGTAATCTAGAATAAGACATTCCAGAGTGAAATTAAAGTTTCTTTTTTGCCTTTCTGCTGACCCACACTGAAATATGCTTGAAAAGAGCAAAATCAAAATGAATGTAGAATGCATTTCTGTGTTTAATTACATTCTTGTGCACTGCAAATTACCCTGTACGGGGGGAATAAAACTCACAGGAAGTCAAGTCACATTTGCTAACCGTCCTCTCTTAGTTGTTGTTGTTTTTTTGTTTTTTTTAGATAAACTGAAACATGGTAGTCTGATTAGGAAGGTTTAACTGCCAACATAGTTAATTAGACATTATGTGTCTCTTTCAGTTTAACGACAAGCTAACAACTACTAAACCCTAAAGAGCAACAATGTGGTTTACTGGAGGTCGTTATTCACCAGGATG